CTTATATGCAGTAAAATTTTATCTGTGGGCCATTTTCCCTCTGTTTGCCTCTTCCCTCTCCCTTATGCTCAAGAAGTAAGTTAATTCTAAGTAGTACTTCACACCCCTCCCCAAGTAAAAACCACAACTTTTTTTTTTAACTTGAGAAGCATAATTCATCTATCTAGGCATTTGCTATTAGATATCTTTCAAGCTGGACAAGGATAAATATCCATATGTATGTAAATTAAATAATCCCTTAAAGACATTTTAAATCTGTCATATTTTAAAAATATGATAGTGTTTTAAAACCTATTAGATTTTAAGGAAAAATTTATTGTGTAGTTCAGGTCAAATAAAAGTGATTCCTGATTATTCTCCCTAGTACTTATCTTAGTATGAAAAATATAAGACTTGAGTATATGCTGATGTTTGGGGAGAGTATCTGAATGTTGACCCCTTTGCCACTTTAAGCCAAGGAGAAGACCAGGATTTTCTCCAAACCAAATTCAAATCTACATAGAATATCTGGGTATTTTTGTGGCAGACGGAAACTCCAGGCCTCACAAGGTTCTGCGCAAGCAGTGAAAGGTTGGCGTGCCTCCATCCATGTCCTTTAGGAACAGGGCTCCTTGTAGGTTTTGGCCTTCAGTAAATACCAATAGAAAACAAGATAAAAATCGTAAAAGTGGGGGGAAATAACCATTGTAAGGATTGAAGTTGGATTTAGCTCATTTATCGGAAGGAACAGTGGAGAGTGCATATTTAGTCCTTGTCAGAGTTTTTCCTAGAAGAGGATGAGGAGGGGCATGCCATATGTCCCAGGAGGATTTTAGGAAGATACTGGGAAAAACAAAAATATAAAAGTTAGACCCTGTAGTTTGGTTTTCTTGGAAGTCTCTTCTGATTCGTTTAGGTAAAGAATCAGCAGTTGTTTTTGCGTGCATGTGTCCATCTGTCTGTCTCTGTGTCTGTGTCTCTTTTCGTAGAATCAAAACAATTGGCTGAATTAGGGACTCTGAATCCCTGTAGGATACAAATGTAGCCCCGGTAAACTCTTCACAACGTTGTTGTGTCCTTAAATCTTCCTGTACAAGAGAAACCATTCTAACAAATGCCTGCAAACATCTCAGTGGTGTTCCTTACATTTGCCTTTGATTTAGGGTTCATAACCCTTGCTTTGGTGCCTCTAGGATTCAAACTTTAGCTCCAAGGTTCTGGGATATACGACGAGTATTCTTCGGCAGGGGAGAGAATCAGGAGACTGGATTTGGCAGTGGGGCTGTGGATAAGTCTTAACTACTTTGAACCTGTTTCTCCCTCTGTAGAATAGGGATTGTGATCTATACTGACCTCCAGGGAACACTGAGAAGAAAACGAGGTAATGATATAATGTGCTTGAGGACTTGAGGATGCTTTAGCAGTGGTTCCTCTTTGATGGGAATCACTTTTGATTGTAAGGGGATGGATGCATGCCTTTCTCCCTCCCTCTTTTTCCTCCTTCCTCCCAGTACTTGATTGCCTGATAGTGGCAAATACTGGCTAGATAATAGAAATCAGTGGTGAGCAGGGCAGATAAAATCCTTGCTCTCTGGGAGCTTGTAACTATCTACCTACTCACCTAGGTCCCTACTTGGAACAGCTTTTTTTGCCTTACTTTCGAAAGAGCCAGTCTCTCCCATTCTTAATAAACCATGCATTCCCATTGCCACTGTTGCCCATTCTCTTTCCCAGCTTTTAAATGTTGGCTTTCCTTAGAGCTCCATCCTAGATGGTCTTTTTACCGCATACTGCCTACCACAGTATGTCCCATTAACATACTTGATATTCCGTTCTCTTCATGTGCCTGTCTCAAAGGTGCTTCAAAATTTACGTCATCTGAACTCATGACCTAAACTAAACACTGCCCCTCCCACCCCCAGACCTGGTCCTGCTCTGATGGTCTGTGGGTCAGTGAGTTTCCAATATCTTGTTCAGTTCAATCTAGAAATCCCTGTGTCTCTCAACCCTTGATCTCCTGTACCTCACATACTTACTTCTTCATCAAGTCCTGTTGATTTACATCCTAAAAACCCATCAGGTTCTCCATTTCTGTTCTCACTGCTGTTTTTCAAGCTGCCATCATCATCTTTTGTATAGACCATCAAAATATCATCCTCACTGTTCTCATATATTTTAGCTCCCCAATCCGTCATCCATACTTTAGATATTTTTTAGATACAGAAATATATTCATGTGGTTCCAAAATTTTAAAAGTATGAAAAGATATTCAGCGAAGAGCCTTCTTCCCTTGTGTAAACTAGGTTACTCATTCTAAACATTCTTTTAAGATATTTTATGCATATGTAAGGAAATACTAACACATAAGCTATTTTTAAAACTTCATTATTTATACCAAAGGTGTTATACTATGTATACTTTTTTTTAAATCAACAGTATATCTTGGATATTTCGTTGTAGTATAGAGAATCTTGACATTTACTTTTATCAATGCTTAATAGTTCATGGTAGAAATGCTGAAATTTATGTACACCAGGACAAAACATTTTTTGCTGTCTAGACTATCCCATTCCTTCACTTTGGATAATTTTGTCATAAATTCCCATTCATTACCCTTAGGGAGGGAAAAACTAAGCTTATTTGACAGGATTTTCAGGGCTTGCCATTCTTTTCTCCAGGGTTGTCTTGTATGGCTCTGTTTCCTCTCATCCTCTACTTTTTTGTTATGTGAACATGAATAATCTCTTATTTTGTCCACATACTATGATGTCCCTTCCCTCCTGAGACCTTGCGCAAGCTCTTAGTCTCACACGCAGACCCATTCCTTCCTCTTCCTGCCTTAAATTAACTTCTAATCTACTTAGGGAAAATCTCAGCTCAAATTCCATTTCCTCAAGGTTTGCTTACCCTGGCATTCCAAGGCCAGGCCAACGCCCTTTGATATAGTCTCTCTGGCACCTTACTGCCATTTACTATTACGTATTTGTATGATTATTAGATTGATATTTACCACACACTAAAAAGTGTTTCTTATGTAGTGGGTTGAAACCCACTATGGGTTATGAAGTCAGTTTTAAAAATCAGGACAAGCTCTTTAAAAAAAAAAGAACTGGGATAGAAAATATGAGGCCTCTTACAGTAAGGGTTTTTTTTTTTTCCCATCATACTGTGCTTCAGATTAATAGATTGATAGATGTGATCACATAAGCATCAGTACATAGGTATATTGGGCATGATGTAAATTATATTTCTTATTATGGGCCTTAGTCAAAAAAAAGTTTGAAAGCTATTGAACTGTTGGGTTGGCCAAAAAGTTCGTTTAGTTTTTTCTATACAGTGGTTCTAGTAGTGTTTAGTTGTCTTCACCTTCATTTGAAACAATTTTGTTAGATTGTCTTGTGACAGCTGTCATATCAACATGCATTAAAAAAAAATTGGTGAATTTTTGTGCAGCCATTGTAATGTTGAAGATAGAAGAAGATACACAACATTTTCAGCATATTATGCTTTATTATTTCAAAAAAGGTAAAAAGGCAACTGAAATGCATTTTTTTTTTTTTAATTTTTGCAATGTATAGAAAAGGTGCTGTGACTGATCAAATGTGTCAAAAATGGTTTGTGAAGTTTCTTGGTACTATTGACATTTTGGCCAAATAATTCTTTTCTGTGGGACTGTCTTATGCATTGGAAGATTTTTAGCAGCACCTGTGGCCTCTGCCCACTAAAAGCCAATAATGGGAGATAGCCAACATACTCAAAATGTCCAAATCAGTAAAGTTATTGCTGAAAATGAAAAAAATGTCTTTTATTTTATGGAAAAAGCTAAACAGACTTTTTGCCCAACCCAATAGATGATAAATTCTGTGAGGGCAGGAATTCTGTATGTTTTGTAAATCACTCCATACCCTAATGTAGCAGAGGGCACTCAGTCAATATGCTGGCTGAACGAATGTTTTGTAAATCACTCCATACCCTAATGTAGCAGAGGGCACTCAATCAATAGGCTGGCTGAACGAATGAATGAATGAATGCACATCTTTTCAAGGAGGTTCACAGTCCCACTCACTGTCCTTAGGAGTAATGGACCCCACCTATATAAGCAGCTGGTAGTGATTATTTACTTGGCCAATTGAGTTTGCATTAGATCATTAGAAGGAAAAAAAAAGTACGAGAAACAATACCTACAAAGTATCTTTTTAAGGGATGAAACATTGACAAAAGATTTTCAGATTTAAATTTTTTTGTGTTACCTGTGAACCTTAGGCCTTGAATACCATTTATTTTATTTTCTTAAGAAATAATGAAACATTTTTTACCTGCCTCAATATCTGGGTAATTTTTAATTTCTAAAGCAGTCTACAAACAGGGCTTATTATATAGCTGTTATCTTTTGTGTGTACTTCAGCAATAAAATATTTATGCAGTTTGGCAAGGTGATACTACAACCTGGTTTAGTACAACAGCTGCACTGCCTGTTCCCATGTGGCTTGATTTCCCTTTTTAATCTTCAGTTTTGTCAGCATGTAGTTTATACAGCAACAGATAATGGTGAAGGCTTCTTGAATGAACATAGTAAAGAGAGAAATGCTCTGCTGAATTTACTTGGTTTCATATTTTTCTAATGTCTTTGCAAAACATTTTCTTAACATGTTCTACACAGTAGAGCTTTATAAACATCAAGTATTTACAATGAGACACTTTTGTAACTTTTTTTTATTCTTTAAAGAACTTACAAACTTATCTCCAAAGGTATACGTATTTCATCTTAAAAAATGGAAATATTTTAGTTCCAAAGTAATCTGCATTTTGGCTTAGCACAAATCAGGAAAATCCTGAAAGTACAAGAATGTCTCTTGTATTTATATTCAGTCATAAATTTGTATGTATAATTGAATTCAGATTGAATTAAAAAGTGTTTAGGCAAAAAGTACATAACCTTAACTCTTTTCAAGTTTATTTTCAGAGCGTTTTAGCGCAGTTTATATCTAGCATGTGTGTTATTTTTTTCTTTTTATTTCTAGGTGCTCCTGATCCAACAGCAGGTGCTAGTATAGATGATGAAAACTGCTGGCACTTAGATGAAGAGCAGGTTCAAGAACAGGTTAAACTGTTCCTTTCCCAGGGCGGGTACCATGGATCAGGGAAGCAGCTTAATTTACTCTTTGCAAAGGTATGGTTGTTTATTTTTACAGAAATATTCTAAATACATATATATATAGAAAGTATCTTGATATGATCATGCTTACAGTAGGGTAAAAACTTATTAAAATTTTTAAAGAGTCTAGGTTAATCAACTAGAAACTTCTGTGCTTCAATGCAAGTATTTATTTGCTTAGGTATCCTTCAGCAAGATGTGGAACCTTTTTTTCTGTCAGTTCTTATTAATGAAATGGTGATAATTTATACAATTTTGAAAAACTTTCCAGTGCTAAAACCAAAATAAATATCTTAATGTTACTTAAAATGCCATCTTTTCAATTTTTTCTTTTCCTAATTAATTTCCCCAGTAACTTGAATATAGCCCTTAAAAGGTGCTTTATATTAGTTTGCTCATCTATAAAATTAGCTAATAATAGCATATCTCCTCAGGTTGTGATCATGGTGTTAAATAATACCATGTAGTTAGGTTTTGGTAAATGTTCATTTCATCATCAAAATTTGATGACCTAAGAAACAAAATTCTAAGGTGCTTTATATTAGTTTGCTCATCTATAAAATTAGCTAATAATAGCATATCTCCTCAAGTTGTGATCATGGTGTTAAATAATAATGGTTTCTAACATGTAGTTAGGTTTTGGTAAATGTTCATTTCATCATCAAAATTTGGTGACCTAAGAAACAAAATTATCTTCGTTGTAAGTTTTGTGTGAGCAGAAACTGTATCTGTTACTTTATACAGAACTTTTAGTACCATAAACAGAAATCTAAATGCTGGATAAAAAGCTTTTTTAATAATATTAAATATAAAATCAGTGTCTTTTCGTTGGAGGTATAGCCATCATTATGGGTAATGTATTTAGATTGGTTTGAAGGGAACAGATAATAACTCTGCTCATTGATGCTTTTGTTAAATATCTTCCCTAATATTTAGAATAATTACAAGTTTACTTAGTTCAGAAGAATTAGAGCAAACTCTGTTACTGGTTATGGCCAGAAAATAGTGTATTCTGATTCATCAGACTCTCCTAACACAGATTTATTCCAATACCATACATAGATTGCCAATTTTCTGAAAACTAGATTTACAATAGAATACATTTAACTCTAAAACTAGTCTACATGTGATTTAATAATTCTTTAGTAACTCATAAGCACTTCAAACCCCTGTAATGCCTCAGAGTCAACAGTCTGAAAATTAATTACCATTAGGCTATACATGTACTTGAGTGTTGGTTAATAGTTCTGGTTTATATGCCTAATAGTATTTATTTTCAGCGCTACTTCTAGCTGAGTAGTAGAAAATGTATTTATGAGTAATGTATCAGAAAAGTAAACATTAAATCAAATTTGATATAGTGGTAACTATTCAAGGTTTAGTATATTTAAACACACAGGAAGTACTTCATATTCTCATGTCAGCAGAGTATACTGTGGCCTAATAGATGCAGCATGAAAGTGGTATTAAGCTGGCCTACACCTGCAATTTTTCTCTCTCTACATTATATATGCGTTATATATGTCATATAAATTACATAAGTGTCTAATCTAGGAAATGGCATAATTTTTAGGGTTAGGTAGAGTTAAGACAGATCTGGATTCTGATCCCTTTAAATCTCCTTCCATCACTATACATTGGACCCCCTTTACCCTTTACTACTCATGTCCTTTAGGCAAGTTACTTAACGTCTCAGTCATGGTTTCATAATTCATAAAATGGGGATTATAATCTGGCATCCTTTATATGGTTGGTATAAAGATTGCATGGTAAGTATCAATGTAAAACTCTTAAGCACGATGTTCAGTAAATGGCAAATCCTTCTCTTTCTCCCAGTCTTCATCTTTTCATGAATATGTGCTTCATGAAGAAAGGTAATAAATTCCTTTTTAAGATTACTGAAATAATCATCCTGGAAGCACAACCCTTGTGATTTACTGTAGAAGTGCTTTTGAGTTGTTTACAAGACTCAAATTCTAAAGCCTATGGGGGGTTCCCTCACTTTACAGGGTACAAGCCTGAGGCAGGATCTCCTGATTTGGAGATTTAGGTTGCTTTATTGAAGATCTGCCATTTCCTACATTTGACTTCACAAAGAGAGAATCCTGAATTAAAGGACCCACCCCTCCTCTTCCACTGCTCATGAATTTGCTCCAGTAATTTCCTATAGGGAGAACTGGTGTTCAGCTGGGACTCTTACCTGTTGAACACATAGCTATACACTTCTGGAATGGATGAAATAATTTAGGGTTTCCTGTTAGCCTTGTGTTTCCTTTTTTTTTTTTTTTTTTTTTTTTTTAATTTATTCATTTGGGAAATGTAGCACAAGAGTTAATGGACAGAGCTTGAAGTTCCAGTATGAGAGGCCAAGTTAACTTCCTGGGTCACTGGTTATGATTCTGCTTTGTGGATTGCTCATTTAGAGCCAAGACAGTCTTGAACTTACAGCCCTGTTCATTTCCTTTTACCATTGCAAAAACAAACCCATTGGTGTGAATATGATACTGCTCTTTATGTCAAAAACTTCAGTAAAAGAGAATTTAATGAAATTACTAATTTACCTTCAAAATTACTAATTTTGAGGACCTAAACAACTTTCTGAACATGCTAAATACCATTGAATTGTACAGTTTCAATTGGTGAATTGTATGGTGTGTGAATTTTGTCTAAATAAAGCTGTTTTTGAAAAACTGAAGGACAGATGTCATTGTTAACTTTATCAGATCAATTTAGAAGATCCCTGAAGAGTTCTCAGTAGACTGCTCTTTAGGCTCTGCTCTTCTGGTGTGAGTGTAGTCAGTAGGAGTTAGAAAGGTGCCAAATGATTGTCTCGTCTGTTTAGGTACTGTTTTTCTGTAGGCTGTCAAATTTTCTTTTTTTAATTGGGAAGTTGGCCAAATTTCTTTTATCGTGTGGATTATAAAACATTTTAAAAAAACTAATGGTCAGTTCTTTGATTCAGTTACCATGTAGGGTAGAAAGCAGTTTTAACAACTTTTGTTTGCTTAATAGAGCTGGTGTTAAGACTTAACTGCCCTTCCAAGAAAAAAGGAAAGAAAAGTGTTCTGTCTCTGTATTGCTGTTTGGTTTTGAACATTTTTCTAAAGGTCTGTTTTTCCCTACTAGGTTCGGGAGATGTTGAAGATGAGGGATTCTAATGGGGCCCGCATGTTGACCTTGATAACAGAGCAATTCATGGCTGACCCTCGTCTGTCACTTTGGAGGCAACAAGGCACTGCGATGACTGACAAATATAGGCAGCTCTGGGATGAGCTGGGTAAATATAAGTTTCCTGACAGATTGCCATTGAGTTATATGGATAAAGACCATGTTGAATGTTTAAAGAGCATGGTCTAAGTATTGCTGAAGAAGAGCTGCTCATAAATGAACTTGTTGCCATTATTCACTGGTTAGAAGAATAGGAAGAATAAGGACTTTGCAGGAAACAGTCTTGGCAGGGTTTGGAGGGAATTGTCTGATCTGACGGAAAGTGAACACAGGAATCTGTCTTTAAATATTTGGGGGAAAAAAGCTATATATTTTTTAAATAGGTATTTTGTATAAAAGAGCTGATTATCTGTTCCTAGTTTAATATTGTGATCAATTCAGCTAAAATTTGCCTGTTTTCCTCTTTTTCTTACATTAGAAGTATCAAAAGTAGTTTGAACATTCATTTTGTATTTTGACTGTTAGAGATTTAGATGAACTGTTGATTTTAAGAATGAAAAAATACACAGCAACCTCCAATTTTCATAGCTTTCCAAATCCTTAGTGGTACAGATACTAATTAACAGCAGGTGGTTGAAAAAAAATGAGAAATTTACTATTCATGTTCACTGGGAAATTTGGGGGGATGATTCTTGTTACCTAATGCTCATTGCTGGGGATTTAATGACGTACTTGTTATTTTATCTTTCTATTAAGAAATCTATGTGACAAATGGAATTTTTAAAAAATAACTTTATCAGTGCTTGCATTCATTTTATGATCAGGATATATTTACTAAAAGATCCTCATCTTGATGCATTTGAATAGTAGAACTCGTCATCCTTTCATACCTGTCTTCTTTTTGGCTAATGATAGAACACATCATGCTAATTGATCCCATGTCAGTTCTAGAGCAAGGGAAACTGTTGCTCATGAAGATACCACATGATCATAATAATTGGAAGGGACTTTTAAGTTGACATCTTTTACAGATAAGGAAACTAAAGTCTGGAGAGGTTAGGAGACTTCCACAAGGCGATATTGTATGATGTGGGGTTATGCAGCAAATTGGTAAAGAATTTGATATCCAAGGTTCCTTTTGCCCATTAATAGGATGTTCTGGAACTTGGCTGTGGATAGCAACGTGTGTGCGCGCGCGCCAATTTAATCTTGGTATTCCCTGGGTCACCTGAAATAATAATGGCAATGGCCTTTCTCCCCAATTAATCTGTTGCTTCAGTAGGTAGTTCCAATGTATTAGAAGAATGTTTGGGGGCATGCTGTGGTGGTTGGACAACCTAAGTATAATGCATGGTTTAAACAACTTTTTATAGAATACTGAGTGTTTTACTTCAATTTTGTTACAGTAAGTGTTGAATTGAGTAGTCGGTTTATGATGTAAAAAGGATGAGGATTAGAAAAACTATAATGAAGAGAATCACTTAAGGAAAAAATTACTGGATTAATATTAAACAAAATTTAAAGAACTTCGGTACTTAGAGAAGCTTAGAATTACAAATAACTAATTAGGAAGATAATACCAACTAAATTTCTTGGTTATCAAAAAAATAATAGTGATATAGTCAAAATTTGTATAGTTGACAGGTACTCCATTAGTCACGTGTTACTTTTCCAAGTTGATTTTGAAAATTACGTACCTCAACCCTTAATCAAAAGAATAAATTATCATTAGGTGGAAGTTTCCACCAGCTGATTCTAGTATACCTTTTGATGACCTTCTAATTATGGACCAGTTTATTTCAGCCCAGTATAAAGAATGCATCTTCTTGCCCTGTGTTTTCTTTTTTTATATTCCCTTCCCTCAATAATTACTAGACTGCTGTAAATTCTTCTATGTATTCTGATGGTGAGCAGAGGTCACTTGCCGTTTTAATGGGGGTCTAAGTTCTGTGAAGAATTCCAGGTAGAAGTAACAATAGCTGTCACATCTCAATATTCATTCACCAAAAAATTAACTAAAAGTTGCTTCTGGACTACAAAGGAAAGGATTTTGGTTCTTAATAAAATGGGGGAATTTGACTTTGTGCCCCTGCACAGGGCTCACATTGCTTCAAGGCTCCGCTTTGGAATTAAATGCTGAGCACTGCCAGATGCCAGACATTGAGAAGAGGCTGAGTTTTGTCGGCAAATGGGATCTGCGAGTTAATTGGTGTTTTCTGCAGGCTTCTGGCTGTGAAATGAAATTGGAAGCCCTTTAGCCACATGGATAATACAGGACCTGAATACAAATGTCACATGTCACCATCAGGACCCACTGTGAGACAATAGTGTTCCCACTCCAACACTGCGCCATTACAGATCATTTAAATATGGGGATTACATTTAAACTAAAAGCCCCATTTGCCTTTTACTGCAATTTAAATGTCCTCTTAGCAAAAGCTAAGTGACAAATTAAATGAAAAAAGTGCCCACATTTTTAAAGCTATAATGCAAAACAACCTTTTATTACTTCTCATGTGCCACGAATGAATCATTATACTTGTCAACCCTAAACCAAGCCATAATTGGAGCAGCTACTGTTATCAAAGTGGGGCTGCTCTGTGACAGCTTAATAAAGCTGGAACTGTTAAATTAAATCTCAGATGCTTAACTCCTTAGCACCAGTGGATTCGATGGGTCCATTTCTGGCACTGGCCAGTACCAGGGAAAAAAAAAGATTTCCTGGCATGAAAGCCTTACTTTAGCCTAATGAAAGTGTAAAAGTAAGAGGGCCTTGGTGCTAAGTAACACTGCTTCATGGCAGAAGGCTTGGGAGTCATCAGATTGTTGCCCAGATATAGAATTTTATTTTTCCATTGGATCAGATGTTGTCCCTCCCCAAGATTTACAGTATTCTGAGTATATGTGACTTATTGAAATTAAGTGTTGATTCAAAGTTAATTTTAAAAATAAACATTCAGGTAACTTTTTCCCTCTTTCAAATAAATATATGTGAACTTATTTTGAGGTAGGAACAGGACCAATTTCTTTCCTCATCTGCTGGCTAACAAAGGAACTAATTATGCTCAGTTAAGCTCTTCTAAAACAAGTGCCAAAGATAATCATTTGGTCTGAGTTAATTTTTGTTGTTTACTCCCTCCCTGATTTTCATAATGTAGTATGAAATAAATACGAATGCGTGCTATTAAGCTTTTGCTTATGCATCTCATTTGCAGATACATTTATCTTGTATATAAGTTTTTCATGTACTTTACTTTCTTTACATGTTTATTTTCTTAAAGGTATGGCAGTCTTCTCAAGATGAGTGTTGTATCATGATCAGCTATAAGAAAATGTGTGTATTGAAATCTTAAAACCAGGACAGAAAGCCCATTTGCAGTGGTAGAGGCTGCTCATTTGATAAAGACAACACACTTATTAGAGCTATAGAACACACTCCTCTTCAGTTGCATTCATTATTCTCTGACATGCAAATTTTCTGGAAAGCAGATCACAGATAAAACTTGAATTTCACAGAATAATCCAGTGCAGGTTCACGGTAAGCTCACCTACTGTTAGCCCTAATGGCTGTCTGTTCAGTGCAGTTAATTACCATTGGGGGTCTTAAGGGACGAGGGGATATATTGTAACCTCTCATCTGTGTTGATGGATCTCTTTTCCTTAAATGTCTTCCTAGACTATAATTTTACTTTGCTTCCTGAAACTATAGGTTGTGGCTGCCAGTCTGTTAAAACCTAATTAAAATAGATGTCATTAGAGGAAACAGTTAAATAAGATTTAATTACAGTTTTATCACAGGGAAAAATTCTTAAATTTTTATTTTTCAAGTATTACATAATATTTTTCCTCCAAATTTTAAACACTTAACTTCCCGTCTGAGCTGAGTCATGTGTTTTGGTTTTTAGCGTGTAAACCCTGTTTCTTAGGGAGATGTCATTGCAAGAGCCTTGTGACTCTTGAGTTGTGCTCACTCCGTTCACATGAACAAGATGGTACCTCTCAGTTATTTTCAAAGCTTGTCATAAGGATGCCAAACTCTGTGTGAGCAGAAATAGCCACAGTTAGGTTTTTTTTTTTCCAGTTTGAATTTCATCATAAGGTTAGTTTGACCATTGTTATTAAGCAAAAGCTGTAATATTGCTGGATGGATTGAGTGGGTTACGGATTCAGAACCCTTGGAAATCAGCATAAATCTATTTAGCAGTAGAGAAATTAGTTCACCCATTGGGACCACATTTATTTAAAATAGTAAAAATTACATTTCCATGGACCTAGAGAATGCTGTTCTTTCTGCATTCCTAGATATAAGTAGTCATCTCTGGTCCGATTTTGTACTCCCCCACATTATTCTTGAAAAGAAAATATATACTTAAGTTACACATTAATTTAGAGACCCTTTGTGCACAGCCAGAAATAAGATTCTAAAGGCTCTGCTTTGGAGGTAATTGTGGAAAAATTTCTGAGAAATACCATCTTACATCTCTGAAAACAGTAGGCCTAGTGATTCTGCCCACGCCCCGCCCCTCCGCCCCCACCCCCCCACCACCGTTTTGAGCCCCTTAGTTTCTGTGGTAAATTCAAGCTCAGGCTTTACACATTTTGGAGTTGATGGTGGTTAGTAGACAGCTAAAGAGTAACTGCTTCTCATGGAGAACTATAAAGCATTGCAGTGTGGTTTGTCTTTAAGTAGTTACCACCTTACTAGTGCCATGGAGAAAATAGCATCTTCCAGAGTCCCCTTGCACCAAAAAGATGTCAGTATAGATTTGAAAGCGCCATGAAACTGCAGCTGCAGAATGTAATCCTAATGAACCACCTTATTAGGGGTTGCTTGTCACCTACCAGTTTGCCTTCCCTGGGTATAAGGAGAACACAGCCTTCATTCCAAAATTCTTATTGTGGTTTCTCTACCATTATGTATTGGGTTGGGCAAAAAGTCCATTTAGTTTTTTCCATAAAATAAGACACATTTTTCATTTCACCAATAACTTTATTGATTTGGATATTTATGTATGTTGTCTATCTCCCGCATGGTATAACGTTCAGTGTTCTCAGTTAATGTCTTGATTTGATTGTTATCAACTTCAACTGGTCTGCCTGACCATGGAT